CAGTTGAGTCAGCAGACCACCTTGTTGTGCTCAGACCTGGATGCAACACAAGCATCAATGCAGCTGACAGCTGCAGGTAGCCGGCTTAGAGTCGAGATTTTATGGGTACAGATTAAAATCGTAGTTTGTCGTTTAGAGAATTTTTATAATTTTGAAATTCTCATTTACTGCTTGGTACTGCTGTCGTCCTGTTCGTTTTAGCGCTGAGGTCACGCTTCATTGATTCTGAAATTGTGTTCAATCGATTATCGTTAATCTCATTTAAATTATGTTGAATAATATTCATTTAACAGAAAGGGTCAAAGGCTTAAACTGGTGCATTCGAATAGGCAAACAGCAATTTCTAGCAGGTTAGCCAATTCTGATCTCTACATCTGGATAGTTCCACGACAACTCCCACATTTTGCCAGGATTCTGGGCACCTGTGCATTCGTTCAGCTTGATTACACTTTGAAACCACATCCCATTGTCTGGCTCACTAATCCGCTGTCTGTCCCTGTCTCATTATCTCCCTCTCTCTCTCGCTCACCATGAAACCTTTGATTTATGATCTTTGTGTTTGCTTTCCTAATTGATTTCGAACAGGTCAGCAGCAGCATCAGCGCAGCTACCTGCGTACAGGAAATGCCTCACTGAGCCCTCACGTCGAACATTATGAGTTCTGAGCGTTCGCTCGCCTAGCTCAATTCCTGTTCTCCTATTCGTTTGCTACAGTTTTTAACTCTTTTCGTGTTCACAAATATTCAGATTTGTTTGTTTATTTTAATTAGATGCAGAAGTCAGTGGAGGCAAGTTGAGAGTGACCGACTAGCAGTTACCCTGTGAAATGAATACGTAAATAAGATTTATTTATAAGTATATGGTATTTATTACTATTATTATTTTATTTTTTATTAATATGTATAACTCACTCTTTACAATTCACATTATAATTTATTTACATTCAAGTTAAAAGATTTTAGAGTTAGTGTGTTCACCATGAAACCAATATACCCCACTTTCTACACGATCCATGGGCTCAGAGTATAATGAAATGAACAAAGGCTTTGTGAGAGAAAATCAATTGAATGTAATTTAATACACACTCCACGCATGCAGCGTCTATTAGGGTCTTCTTCTTGGAATGCGTGTGAATGAGTGTGTATATATGTGTGTGTGTGTGTGTATGTGCGCTCTAACAAGTTATATTTGACTTGAGAACTTGCTGCTGACTTCTGTGTGCCTGTTCGAAAGCATGAAATTATCGTGACAATCAACAGGGCTGTTCCATGAAGCGGAACGACCTACTTGAAGACAACGTGATACTGAGAGAGAGAGAGAGGGAGAGACAGAGGCAGCTTAAGTGAGCGAGCAAGATCGTCCCTAAATGCTCCTAATTATGATCGCAAATTGGCTGTCAATTTAACAGGCACACAGTCGCACTTGAGAGTCGCTGACAAGCACATTTGAGCTGTGCTAAGATTCTGGGAATTCTCTAAGCATTATATGCCAGAAAAAGTCTCTGTTTCTCTCTTTCTCGACTGCTGTTCACCTGGTAATCAAACGTCATCTGGCGTGAAAAATTCTCACGCTCATTTTCGTGTGAGTTTTGTATGTTGTAACTGCAGCTGGGCCTAGATTTCACATTGTCTAAGGTAACAAACGCTACACACACACACACACACACACTCACAAACGGCCGTTACATTCCGCCCATTTCCGTTAAACATGGTCAGCAAACACGTCGAGGATCTGCTCAAGAATCTTCAGCGTGGGAATTTGACTGTACAATTTTATCTGGTCGCCTGTTCAGAATTTCGAGATATTTTAGAAAAATTCTCACAGAAACCAAAAAGTTCTCATGGTTCCCATGGCTGTGAACCAATCTGTTAAGATCCTTACCTGCTGCAGCTCTGAGAGAAAATACATTTCTACTTTTTTATTTCTTTCATTGATCTTCGAATCGTTTGTTTTTTTTTTTTCACACGCCCATCATAATTAGGAAGAAAACAAAAGATGTTGGCAGTGCCTGACTAGGGGATACCATGCAATGGGTGATTGTAATTGAGTTGGGGTATGTGCTGATAAAGATAGTGAAAGAGATGAACGTCAATGATAATGATGATGATGTAGTATTCAGAGAATGAAGAATATTGATGATGATGGCTGAATATGGCTAAATCATAATTAATAAATAATTATTCAAGAAATATTATATTATTACTCTTACCAGCAATAGATCAAAACATTCTCAATCACTTTTGTTTAATTAAAATTCACAGATCAACTCTAAAACCTCAAGAAACTCGTGTCTTTCGTATAAGAATTTCTCATCATGCCTGTTGCACATTATCAAGAACTCAACTAGTCTACCCTATTGCTCACACTCACTGGAGTCGGGGTATGAGAAGAAATTTTACCTGTGATCGCTTGCTCCTACCTAGCCCTCTTAGCATTCCAAGCCATTGTTTATACGGCTTCAACTTCTTTTTATACCCTGAACCCATTGAAAATGGGAAATCAGGGTATAATGGTT